GGCTTGGGAGATCGTGAGAGGAGGGCCATGGTTGCTACTGTGTGGTGTATTTTGAGCAATGAGATTGCGGAGGTGTAGATGTTATTTTTTTCAAGAGGAAGTGGTCCATTTTGCTTGTTTTGTTTATTTTTGCAGGTTGTTTTTGTTTTTGTTTCTCCGGTGAAGTCAAGTGAGTATTGTTTTCTGGCGATTCCGATAAGTTTCTTTTTTTGTTTGTATTTTGTGGATCTTTCTGTTTGTCATTGAGTATTATGATCTTATCATATTTTAAAATAGCATTTACTCCTTGGTCTCTTGCTTTCGTTAATTCTGTCTGAAGTTCCCTGCGCTTCTCTAATACTTCCTTGGGGTAGTCCTCTTTTATGTAGAACGGAGTGCCGATTAGTTTCCTTTTAGATTGCATTATTTTTATTTTGAGTCCGATGGGTAATAGTGATACTAAGATTGGCCTACATTTTTCACTTTTTCTCCCTATTCTTCTCACTGCTTCTATACAATTTTTTTCGCAACTAATGTCTAACGTATCATTGAAAAAATTTGAAACTTTTTCTTCTAATTCTTGGTAGTTTTTTTCATCTTCTTCGATTCCAAATATTACTAAATTTTTTCTTCTAGAAAACTTTTCAAAATTATCTATTTTTATTTTTTGATTTTCCAGTTTTGTTTCAATTTTTTGATTTTTTGTTTCCAATATTTTGAATTTTTCGTTTATATTGCTATTTATAGTACATTTAATGTCTTCTTTTATTTTAAGCATTTCCTCTTTTTGTTGTTTTATATCTTCCTGTAATGAACGTAGCATATTTTTAATTTCTTCCATTTTTCTTTCTTATACGCCCTCTGTTGACAGAATTTATAAACTGTCTACTCTTAACGTTCGTTCGATTTATTTGTTGATCCACGTAGTTTTGCTAAATTGTGATAGATGGCGCTTTTTTAAATATTCGACGGTGGAATGACTATGCAAATTGTTCAAAACTGCACTATTAATATAACATATCACCACTTCACTTATATTGCTTGGAAACCGTTATATCACTGTTTTTTATTAAAAACATTAATTTCACTTAGAAAGTTACACTTAGTTGCATCACTGTATTTTCACATTTTAATCATTCTTCCTTAAAAATATTTTACACTTTTTATTTGTGCTGCACTATTTCGTTTTTTAGAACACTATTACACAATGTTTTCACTATTTGACTAACTTTACTAATTTTTAATACGTTATTTACGTGGAGACAGTGTTTACGTTAGAGCGGTGGCGCCCTCTCTTAAGTAGTAAAGTAACAATATTCTACATTAAATAGATGCGCCTAATCTATAAAAATCGTCATGCAGGAAAGGGACAAAAACTACAAGGCAATGAAGTAAAATTGCCATAGTAGCGGTAATTATTAGCATTTACAATTTAATGTTATACAGATGTAAACAATAAAATAAAGTTTTAATAATTACAAACGAGTGAAGCCGCACGGGGATAGCTAATACCAGATGCAATTACAAGTACTTCAAGAATTTCAAGAAACTTCCGACAAATTTGAATAAAACGACCGACAAACATTTGACACAGTTTTTCTGGAAACTTCGATAACATACCCTTCGGAAAGCCACTGCAGCAAACTAGCCGGGCTAATGTTGGGGTAGGGCGTCTTCGCAAGCGAGAACAGCTCCCAAAGCACTACCCCGAATGACCACACGTCCGATTGCGTAGAGAATATGCGATCCGTCATACATTCGATCGCTAGCCACTTCACCGGCAACGGACTCTGAAAATGCAAACTGGAAATAAGTTTAACACGAACAGGAAAGATTAAATTATTTAAATTTCGTCAGACTTCTAATTTTGGCAATTTTTAGATATATTCGATACCCGTGTAATAGAGAAATGACTTACATTTTCTTTCTTCTGATACTCGTCATTCTTGTAAATGCTACGCGCGAGGCCGAAGTCGCATATCTTGACGATGTTGTCGTCAGCCAGGAGTACGTTGCGAGCCGCCAGGTCGCCGTGCAATACCTGACATTCGTTCAAATTATAATACCATCCTTATAAATATTGATTTATTTCTGCTTATTTGTTGTCATATGCTATGTGATTTAATGCTGGATTTAATGCATCGTAGGAAAAAACTTATGTATTTGTGACCTGTGGGTGTTCACTAAGGACTTATGCAACGCTTGCCTAGATCATATTCATGATACTATGTTTGAATGCTTGGGAAATATAATGTTAATGAATATAATGACCTACCTTTCTGCTGGCGAGGTATTCCATACCGCGTGCGATCTGAAAGGCCCAGGCGAGCAGATCGCGCGAGAAGAGTGGCCGAGGCGCGCGTCCGTCGCTGTAATCGCTCTCGTAGTTGGACCGCCATTCCGGCTGCACGTACCCCGTCTCTGATACTGCAAGTAGTAAAACAAATAATCAACTTTATTTCATTACCAGCTCACTATACGTCACCATCGAGGGGCTCGGAGCCTTCCCTAAGGAAATCATAATGTGTCTTGCTTATAACAAAATAAATTACTAACTTGAGACTTTTAAAAAGACGTACCTTTTCTCCCAGATCTGTTTGTATTTCCTGTGTTTAGGAATGTATTATCGGTATTTTGCGTATGATTGGAGCTGAAGTAGTCTGAATGGAACCTGAAAATGTATTTTTTTGATGATTGATTGGAAATCTACCTGCCTTTAATACGGATAAGCAAAAATTTGATCAGAATTTGCAAGTCGATTTAATACTTTTGACGCAAAATGAAATCTAGGTAATTTATTGGCAGTTTACTTACGCACTACTTCCACTACTGCACGAGAAACCTTTGTTAACTTTGCCGAGATTCTTGTCCTTGTTGTCAGTTAACTGGTCGATGAACACTTCGCGATGTTTCTGAAGGTAGTTGTGAATGTTGCCGAATTTGCAGTACTCTACTATCACTATTAATTCACCTATAAATAAAATAATATTTATCTTAATTATAAAAATTAATATATAAATTAAAAAAATTACTTTCAGAACTGATTAACTTTACACAACCGTTAACATCAGTTGTTTTTTATTTATTTTAAATAAATATTTGGAATATAAAAGTTACGTTTTTGCTAGTATTAATTGTTTAGGATACAGGTCAAACGAAGGCACACCTATACGGTCGCAAAACTTTGACCTCCTTTTTGACCTGTCGGGTAATAAACGTGTGTACTTCATTTAACGGTATATATGGCAACTATTCTAACTAGTTTTGATTGGCAGTCTTCAGCAACAAATACACGAATTAGTTATGTACAAATAACCGTACGTAGAATATGTTTGACTACTGTTAAGCAGAGAATAGAAAGTTCTAGTAAAAGGAGCATTTATAGTATAAAATATATTATTACGGCAACCACTGCGTAGTTTGACCATCGCATGTTCGCATATCGTTTATAAGTAATTTGGTTGAATACATCAATTATTTAATCTACAAGATTTCTGGAACATTTAAAATGCCATAGTGGATTACATTTTTGTTTATAAAAAAAAACAGTTTTAATATGTCTATTTCATTATAATTTCTGGGTCTTGATACTTTTCTTTTTAATATGAATAAACCAGCGCTTGACCACGACTCCACCTAAACTAAGTGAAGACGCGGCCGAAGGATAGCACGCTTGAATTATGTGCAAGGGTTGTATGAGTAAAGGAGATTTATGTTTATTGAAGAATATACCACAATTTCTGATATTATCTTAAACGTAGTTGTACATAGTTGTTTGAAAAATAACTTATAATACAAAATAAAATATTGCGTCGTAACTAATTAACAATTAAAGTAACTCATTCGATACGAATGTTATATTTACCTACGTCTCTATATTTTTTACATTTCCGCAAAAACAGTTTCTAACACAAATCTCGAACGACCTTGAAGTTGACCTTTTTCATTAACTCGATAGCTTTGTACGCAGAGTAAACAATGTTCGCAGTACACAGATAAATGTAGTCACAATGTTGAAACTGTTCTTTGAATGTTTTATAATGTACCAGAAATTCCTCAAATCGAATAAACAGATAGGTCTCATATTTTATTGTTTAATCCAATTTTCTAGTTGTTTTGCGAACTCCATGTTTTATTCATTATGCCATAATCCATGGTAAACAATGGCCATAACACATGCAAATTAAAGAAACCACTCAGACTTATGACTACTAATTTAAAAGTATACGGCATCGTTTCGAGGAAAATACATAAATGAAGTGTAAATAATACATTAATTGAACTAGCTAACTGTTAAATTATTCTTTTAGGTGATAATTCTTTGTTGTGTTTACAACTTTATGCCTACTTTCAGTAAGTGATAATTTTATCATTTTAATACTTATCATTTGAATAAATTTAAAAAAAAATAGTTAATTTTTTAGAGTAAGCTAAATATGGGTACAATAGCTGTTAGTCGCGACTTCGACCAAAAATATTCTCTATGTTACTCATTGATAACGTAGATTTTTAATGCTAAAAGAATTTTAATTTTGTACATACAAAAATACAAATCTTTCCTCTTTATAATATTCGTATTATTACATAATATAAAGATATATAGATTCCGATTGTTTAAACATTTTAAAACGTAGATAGCTATATATATAGATAATTCATATAAAACTTACGTTTTCCAACATTTTTGGTGCACGCTCCAAGAAGATTAACAATATTGACATGTTTTCCTAAATGTACCATTATCTTGAGCTCCGTTGCTAAAGCCTTAATGTACATATTATCCGCGGTCTTCTTCACCATCTTGACGGCAACTTCTGTTGTCTCTTCCGCATTTATTATACCACGTGCTTCTGCTTTGTACACAACACCGAATGCTCCCGCACCTAGCTGCTTACCTGAAGATTGAATTTTTTATTTAAAGAGATTGCATTTAAAGGAAAAAGAATTTAGTACGGGCATGACTGTCTTGACGGTTTAGCTCTTAAGTATTCATTATAATGTTTTCAATGGGTATAGAAACGTAACTATTACAAAGTCTTTCTTAAAAGCTTGGTGATGAAATAACAACTCTTTAAGTATATCTAAGGAAATACAATATTTTTTTAAACAAATCTTAAATTTAAGTTTGGTGTTCTGCCCCCTTAGACTACTTTGTCTCTACTACATTCGATTAACGCAATCGCTGATTGAAAAGTCAAAAATGTATGGAACTGACAATAACATTAACGTATACATTCCTATAGATTTTGACACATTTTGTCGATTCTATTAAAGATATCGTTAATCATATGTCACTTTGTCTAGGGAGGCAGATTACAAAGTAAGTGGTTCGAAGACCAAAAGTTATAAAATCATATCTACCAAAAGTTGTAATACCTAAGTGAAGTTTCTCTGCTGGATATTCAAATCGGTCATCGTACGGTAGCAACTCTGCTTGTTCATCGATGCCTAGGTCAGGGTTAAGGGACTTTGTGACCCCTTCAGTGAAATACAATAACCCAGCCGCTGCAAGTTCCTTCCTAAATTGTTTCTCTTTGCGTATCTTCCATACAAGATAAACGATCAAGAGTAACAATACGAAAACAATTCCTCCGATAACGCTAAGGTAAGCCGCCTTGTTGGTAGATTTTTCTAGAAAATAAAAAAAAAACGTTAATCATAAGAAATTTTACACATGTTTATGTTGCCGTGGGTTTCCGCTGTCGAATCTTCTTCTCTGATCCATCCTTTCTCTGTGAAAAAACTGAATCATGAATACATTTTTGTATTCATAAAACGTCAATGGAAACCCACGGTTTAAAATGATAATTCTAGCTAGAAACCTTTAATAGCAATATTAAAATATTCTCTTGTTATTTCGTCTTCATTGATAGCGACGCACTCGTATTTTCCCTTGTTCTCTTCAAGCATTTGTTTGATAACAACACTTGAGTTTACTCTGCTGTGATCCAACATCTCGGTGATAATATCAGTATTCGTTTCATTCGATAAGAGGTTACCATCCTAAAAAAAATAATTACTTATTTTGTTGCTCTGTATAGAAGTATCCTGTGGAATTTTCTATCATGTTTTGATCACTAACTTTGTACCATTCGATGTGTGGCGGTGGAACAGCTTCGGCCTGACAAGTCAGTTGTAGAGGTTGATAAGGATACACTTCTTCATTCTTCTCCTTTAAAGGCTCCGTAATAGTAGGCGGTTGTTTAGCTAAAACAGATATTAAAGGTAATTTTATTACTAAAATGGCTGACAGTATTAATGTCTTTCTTCCACTTGACACTTTTAAGCTTATATGCCTTTAGAAATTAATTGTCTACTCAATTTAGTTGCATTGATAAATAAAATATTAAAGTAATAAATAATACCTGCTACAGTGATAAATATTGATTCACTTTCTTCAGTATTATCATTTCTTACCGCATTACATGTATAATTGCCAGTGTTTTGTGGCGAAATATTATTTAATTTTAACTTTGCAACGTAGGAAAACGCATTGTTTGAAAATTCCACTGAAAAAAAGAGATTTTTAGTTAGCACAGTGATTTATAAATATTTATTTTTCCAATGACCTCGTAAATCTACTAAAGTTCTCTCTGTTGAAAATCGAATCCGTAGATCTGACGAGGTCAAGTATGTAAAATATTTTAGTATTTAGTACAAAACCTATAAGATAATATTTATAACACTATTTATAGATATTGCTTTTTGTTTTTCAAATAAACAGCTTAGAAATTTATCTGTACATCTCCAAATCTAAACGTTTTTCCACAAATAGAAGTCCATCTGTCAAAGGCTTTGGCATTTCCAAACTTACCTGAATCTAAAATCTCCATATCGTCAGTTCCTATCCACGTTAAATTGGCGAAATCGTATACAGATGCGACACAAGTCAAAACAATATTCTGACTTTCATAAAACCAAGTTCGATCGATGTCTTTGATACCGAAACCACCGGCAAGCTCTTGTACTATAAATTGTTTTGATTTCGTCACAGATTTGATAGCATTTGATGCATTGCATGTGATGTTTCCAGACACACGTACCGGTATTTGAACATATGACGTTGTTGTAATCAACGTGGATACAATTTTACTTGGCTGGAAAAACATGTTTACGTATCACTAAAGATTAAGTTATATCTAACCTCAGACATACATCGTATACAAAAATTAATAAAATGGGCATGGTAATCAGTAAATCGGATCTACTAAAAAGTAAAACAATGTTAGAATACAGTTAGGTGTTTTTCAAACCTTCGGTAAACGAAATCTAAAATAGTAATCAAGTTTTAATTTATTCTAGCATGACTTAAGTCTTACTCCTAGGATGAAGGAAGATATTATAAGATCGTAAGGAAATAGAATTAAGTACATACGAACCGAAAATATCTGCTGGTCGCCTGATTCACTGGTAAATATCCACTCAATGTTCGGCGTAGGATAACCAATTGCCTTGCATTTTAAGTTAGTAATTGTGCCCTCTACGGACTTTATATCATAATTTGTCCCAAAGTCCACTACTGGAGCAGCTGAAAATATTAAAATTAACAATTTAATAAGAAAAATGTTTTTCCATAAAGTTTTTACCTAGCTATTGCGTGTGACTTCGTCCGCCCAAAAATAAAAGTAAACTTGCTTAGCTCATATCTTCTTTCACAGTTTCCTACATCTATATCTGCAACCAGATCTATGCCCTTGTTCTGGTCTTATGTGCATTCCGACAAACATTAGTCATCCATTGAAACTTTCGGTTTTATAACATTAGGTAGTAAGAAAGACTTACCTTTGACTCTTAAATCTCGTGTAACTTTCTTGGAATCATAATCGTTGGTGGCCACACAGGTATAGTTCGCTGTGTCGGTTACTTTTAAGTTGTGTATGGTCAGTTTCATATGGCCAGGAGAAGGCCGTTTTATGTCGTACTTTCCTGTATTCGAATGTATTTCTTTACCATCACAGTAGCTGCAAAATTAACCAATGATTAAGGCTCTTACTTTGCCATCTTCTCTTTCACTTTTTTTTTTATAAAAAATGCTAACGTGATTACTTAAATATTCCAGTTACTGCTATTTATTTGGTAAACTGTTCTCATATATTTCAAAATATATGATCAAAAATGTTCTAAGATATATCCTAAATTAGCCTATTTTGAAACATTCTTAGCAAAATTTAGATTTGTCAGATTTGAGATATTATATTAGTACAATAACAAATAAAAAAGTAAATATGCTTACCAAGCAATACGAGCAGTTGGATAATCTTCTATGTAAAACATAAACTGCATAAGATTTTGACTTGTTTCAATGGGATTGACCTTTCTTCCACCCATTTCAAATTTAATAAAACCAGTCTCTAAAATTAGAAAAAATCACCTTGACTTATAATTGTAAAGAGAGAATCATTTTAACAATACAATTCATAAATAGTCCAGCTTCGTGTTTCTATTTTGCGGATGATAATTTAATAATGGATCAAAAGGTCATTAATAATTTCAAAGCAAGTTAATAATGCTGAGGTATGCCACATGTTATTCACAAACAAAATAGAAAGCACGTTCTTGATGTATATTGATGTATTATAAAATGTGTACCAAGATGTTTTACCTAAATGTAACTTTGTAAACGTAGCGGTGTTCTGTCCGTAGCTATTTTTGGATACGCAGGTGTACTCGCCCGCGTCTTCAACATTAGCATTGACTACCGTTATATTGCTATACAATATTCCACCTGTAGTTTCATTCTCGTTAGTTTTATGTAAAATCTAAAACAAATAGACAATATTTGTATTCAAATTGATTTGATTTGTGAATACATTTAGTAATAATAAACAGATTGTTCATTCGTACCTTCGTTGCGACATTTGGCGTTCTCCAACTTAACGCCAAAGCGGAATTACTCTGATATTCAACTGTACAATTTAGTGAAAAAGTTTCGCCACTCATAAAATGTGGTAAATCGCCAATAATTCGTGGTTGAGGCGGTGGAATACTTGTCACTATAAAAATGTATCGTTTTAAAATTGCGATAAGGTAAAGGAAAAATAAATTTCTTAACTATTAAAATGAAAACATTTGATTAAACATTAGAACTGTCATATGATGTCAATGTATAAAAAAACAAGTAAAGCAAACAAATATTGCACGTTTATAATTGAAAATGTAATAAAAATAATATTAATACGTGCAATACTATTAATACTAAAACAATATGGATTCATCGTCAATGAAAAGTAATCGTCTAAAAAAAATTAATTGCCCACTTTAACAGTACACCAAAACTAAACATATACATATTTGAATAAAACTAAAAGAAACTTTGTCCAAGAAAAAGCATAATAATTAAAAAAAAACTACTACAAAGTGAATTTAAAATCATTGTTTTGTTGTTTTGGACAAACTAACTTCAAATATTTTAGTTTTGTTTTAAAATATATATGTAAAATAACTTTATACGCGTAACCCAACATTCGATACACATTATTACAATTGTTAGTGAATTAGTTATTAAACAAATATAAGTGCAAACAAAGACCAACACACCAAAGAAGAAGAAAAGAAGGAAAATAAGTCACAAGCTAAAAGCAGTCAACAAAACAAATACTCGATTAAATAATCCAAAACTAAATGAAACCATCACACCAGCTACCTCGTTACGTGACATCAAGATAGCAGCACTATCTACTTACACATACGTATAGTTTTCAGATACGATTTCTCTCCGCGGAGTCCCTCGCATTTGTAAGAAGCGACCCTATTCGCTTTGACTACATATCCAATCTTTGGAGAATACTTTATTAATTCTGGTGTCTTGTTACTCTGCAGCCGTATTACCAGATAAATAATGAGTGGTTAGTAGGAGTAAATGGATATGTACCAATTTACATCCACCCTTTTTCAATTGTACAACATTTAGAACTTTAACATTAAGAATAAAGAAGAGTTAATTTTTAAAAAATTGAAAAAGAATTGGATGTAACCAACCACATTCACGACAGGACTGTATAAATGTATGGCCATGATTTTATGATCCAAAAACGATGTCAAAAAGGCCGATATTTCGTGCATGTGGTGGGTACACTTATATTAAAAGTCACACATCTTCTAATCACCTACGTTTATGTACAAATACGTCTTTTTGTCCTTCGAGATCTCCTCGCTTAGCATCACAGGTCACAAGAACTATCGGGACTAACATATAATCGCTATCGACCGTGAAACCAATTTTGGGATCGTAATGCTCATATTCATAGTCTGCAAAGTCCTGAATATTAAGAACGTTGTTAACAACCAATCGAAGCATTAAAACATTGGTGTCCATGCTTTAGTATTAAATTATTCATTTGCAATAAGCATTAGTCAGATATTTAACTGCAAGCCATAAACAAGACAAAATTAACTTTGCATCATTCGATTATTCACTGAACAAAAAAGGGATTTTAATTAAAGAAATTCCCCTCAATTGTAAATACTCTATAAAGTTGGTGAAATAAACATGCAAATTCTAGCAGTCTATATAGGTCTAGCTAAATGCTCGAATTTGATATTGTTACTTACGAAGCAATTTGTTTTAAATGTTTAAATTTTATTGACTTGCAATTACTTTTTAAGAATAGAAAAATTAATTCTCGTCTTGAATACACATCTACGTTTCTAATTTATACATACATACCCCCTTAAGTGTTATTTTTATATCCGGTGTCGTAGGTCTACATTCAATTACGACCTTTGACCCGTTTCCCGTTTTTACGACTTCCCTCATGGGTGCGAACACGCTATTTGTGCCTAAAATGTATATAATTCATTACAACACATAAACCAATCATGCAAATTACTTTGTTCTCGAATGTTATGGAACGTTTCAATCTCACCATTTACGTAGACATAAATGTATGTGACGTGTTCTGTGTCTTTTGGTTCCTCCATTAGATTGTTCAATAAATCGTCAGCTTTAAGAGTGGTATCAAAACAGGCGTAGTAACCGATCGCGAATTGATCTACGTTGTATAAGTTGAGTTCAATTTCGTACTTATATATATCGTCTGTGTTTTCAACCGTCGTTATACTTTTATTAAAAAGCGATCCAACAATTTCTTCTGGTATTTCTTGTTGTTTAAAATCCAATTCGGAGAATCCTTTGCATTTTATTGTAAAATTTTGACCTTTTACTAATACTATTTCTTTTAGAGATGGTTCGATGATTGGACCTTCCATTTCGTAAGCATCTGAAAATAAGCCGTCCAGTGCCTCATTATTTATTCTTTGTTCGTATTTAAGTGCCTAAAATTATTACGAGGTCCTAATCTGTACTCATAATAATTTGGTTGATGCAATTCTTTCGATTAACTCATTATGATGAAACCACGGATAAATACGTATCCTCATGCATACCTCAGTGTCTACATTAAGTCATCCATGATCAACATGATACTTATACGGAAAATTACCTATTGCCAATTTATCAACTTAACGTCTTACACGAGACATTTTGTCATATTACCGGTAAATATTTGCGTCCTTGTCACGAGTTGAGTATCAAATAACAATAATTATCAAAGGAGAAAGTATGAGTTTGCGGAAAAGTGCTGAAGGCTTCGACATCAGGTTATCATGTTAATGGTAGTTGTAACATGAGCCGTAGCAAGTCTATCGAAGGCTCTATTAATTAGGCCGGTTAGGGCGTGACAGGGCGCGGTCAACATTCGGAAAATTAATCCTACCGTGAGGACAACGCGACCCCTACGCGCTGATAGCGATTGATAGAATCGAACTGTAGAGACAGTTACCAATTAAGTGATTAGGATCCCGTCGTTACACTTATCAGAACATTAATATCCATCAAGAGAAAACCTATAGTGACGTATATATCGTGTAAGGTTAAACTAACATTAGGCATATACATTTGTATCTGTTCAAGTGTCTATTCTCGAGATATATGTATACTAACAAATGTATGTTGAATGATGACAAAGAAAATACATAAGTAGCAGTAAAATGTACTATTATTATTATATTTTTATAATAAATAAATAAGTATATTAATAATTAATCTGTGACACTAATAAAATATAGTATTCTTACAACCAAAATAATCTGATTCATTGGTACAAAGCCAGCAGAAGTACATCATAAACTCATATTTGCTTTTATATCTATTTGGAAGTTATGATGTTAATTTACTTTATCATTTAGTTACAATGTTATTTCCCCAGCAGTAGCTTATTGTATATTTTTTCCTAGAAACGTAGTAAAGTGACAAGGGAATAAAGTTACACACCACCATAAAGTTAATTAGATATAGTTAATGCAATTATGTTAAGTAATGTATAAACGAGTGCATCCTAATCCATATTTTAGAATTAAACTGGCAACTGCCCCCGACTTCGACTACGAGGGTTTAAAACTCCGTGTGTTATTCTTCTATACCTATTAAAGTTATGATTTTTTAAATTCACCTTTCTTAACTGTTCAATTAATTATACTATTTTTAAAATAAATAATTTATAATTACTCGATAACATTGATAAATTCTTTACTCAGAAGCAGACTATAAATGAGAGCGGTTTGTGTTGGCTGCACAGGATGTCCCTGTTAAAGTATCAGAATACCCATCCGGCTGATAAAATTATGTAGAATGAGACGCTTCCCTTGTAGACGCGACGTTCACTAATCGCTCTCGATGAAGTTTTAAAACTAGAATAAAGTGGGTTTACTAACCAATAAACTACATCTAGTACTAAATAAAAAAAATAAAAATACTAATACGTACTTTTCCAACAATATTTTATAACAATAAAAAATGATTAAATAAACCCCTGCCAGGATTTAGATTTTAGTAGCTGATCTTAGTTCAGAATCATTTAGTTAATACAGTGCCTATATTTTGCACACTCAACTGTTTTTGAAGCTTGGTTTAATGCAGGCAAATGTGTTAATCAGTTTTACCAGCCCGTACCAACCAGCACAAATTGATACCACTACGTCAGTGTATTTGCTAATACAAAATATATGTCTACTTTACATTGCTTTTATGTCTTGCATTATACACTTTTACGAATTAAAATACCACACATTTACTCACAAAGGGTAACGTTTCTATAATTTGCAGTCATTTTTTATTTATGAACTGTTAACACTATAAAAGCTCTGTACTAAAAATGTTAATAGAAAAAAGTATATGTATTCACAGACAAACAACGTTAACGTAAAAAATAAATCGATAAATGCTTTTATGATTTGGAACCTCAATAGACTACAAAAACAAATGAATTCTTAATGGCTAAACAATTTGTTGTCGATAGGGAGGAGTTTTTTGAACCATTACACTTCGGTCGTTAGTGGTTTTTGAACTATAAGGACAACAGTAATTAATGTCCAAGTATTTTAATCGCCCTGAAACAGGTAACATTCTAAAACAAATGGAAATCTACGCGTCTACAGGAGACATGAACCCTTATTTATTTTATTATTTATCCAATTCTCGTATCTTTGTCCTACAATTACTGTTATCTGACCCGGCTTTTTCACTGAACAATATGAAATTACTATAGTGTATTATTTTCCGAACGAAGTTTATCTGAGTTCACAGAAACCCTATTGGGACCGATAACAGCATCCGTCGACCGACAACAGAGAACCAAACAAAACCTTTTGTTAGGACTTCATTGCTGCCAACTGTTTTTGTCCCACATGGAATGGTGGGTCTGTTAACTAAACATTGGGAAATATGTTGTCTATCACCTTTACACTAAACTTATTAATTAGCTGTTGCTCACGACTTCGTCTGCATAAAATAAACGTAGTTTTTTAATGGTGCAAGAATTTTTGATAGCGGCCCAGTAGTTTTTGAGTTATTTTAATATACAAAAATCCAAGAATACAAATCTTTCCTTATAATATTTGTATAGATTTGTTACCCATAGTCAAACACCTCCGATAATTCACAAACTGTTCTACAAATTATGCTTTCTAGAAATATTTGGGTGGTAATGTTTAAAGGTGTCATTCACACTATTAAAAAAGACCTTCCTAGACTTAGATTTCACTAATGGCTTAAATGGCAACTGCAACAATCATATATCAACTCAACAAGCCAGAATATCTTATCCGGTATTTAATAATAGAAATAAATAAGCCATTAAATATCATTATAGCGGCCAAATTAGATTGCATTTGTAATAATAGCTGCTGGATATATTAACAGAACACTTACTGTCATTAACTTTAATGGAACAATACCATAACAGCTTCGAGGCAATTCTATTACACGGCATATTAAAAATGACGTAACTCATACTTCCCTATAAACACTGCTTACAATAAAATAAACAATAAAACTACATGAAAATCCATCATAAATTTCCTACCAAAATCTTAACTTACGAATTTCTTCATGTAATTTAAAATTCAATTAATCTTTGTTTTTTCAGCGTGTTTTAATAGTTTTTATTCCGTAAACAACTTCGACTGGAGTAGGTAGTGTTGAGTAGAAGTTAAATGACGCAGTTAATTCAATAACAGAATTTATGTTCCATGCTCACATTCATAGTCGTAACCCTCGTTTCAAGCAATGGAATTTTAAACTCGGATGTTAACGAAACGGCTGTACGAGTAGATATTTCTTCAAATAAAGGTACACTATAGCTGTATTTTTCTAAACAATACAAACTGTGTAACAAATTTTAACGTACAATTTGGTTCTTATTTATATTTTTTAACATAACCAATATTTTTTTAACATGAATCACATCAGGTTCAAAGCCAGGACTACAATGAAACTATACCTTCTTCGCATCGATGTCACTGTGATTTCTATGTATGGAATTATTACGAGTAAGATATTTTCACATCACACATTTAGTACCGTCCGTAGTTAGTTTAATGACGGTGAACAAACAACGTAGAAAGTGCTGCGCAAAATAACGTAGTGGGTCATTTGGTCAGACGAGCTATCAATGACAAGATGATTTACTAGCTGGCTTGAATAGACTAAACATGACATAAACCGTTACCAGACCGTCTGGGATCTAAACGGTAAATGTAGATCTAGACTTTAGATAGACAGGATGGTAGTACAAATTTATACGAGTATATAAATGACGTTTCGTTCTGGAAGATATCTACCTTTTAATCAAAAAGTCTGGTGGTTCAAACGTATGATAAAATGAAGCTAATCTTAATAAGGTCGACTTTACGATCGCATCTGTGTTGAATTTTTAACAAAAAGTGTCATAGTTGTTATCGACATAGTAAAATATAGACAAGCAGTTGTTACTTTTTCTTTAATTGCTCTGTTTTAAGCTCTTGTAAATAAGACGTCGTAAAACGTGATAACAGTACAGCACTAGTTATTTATTCGGATATTAGCATCTCTTTATACCTACAGACGACTAGTATTAGAATCACAGTTTAATTCTAAGATTTTAAACATTGTAATGCAAATTAATAGGGGTTTTTTTTATTACATAGGTTAATTACGACAAAAACCACACAATTGATTTGTTAAAAATAGCCAAAAGTAAACGTAATTCGATCGAAACTAAATGCGAGGTCGTTATGTCATTGTCAATGTCAAACAGGCGTCGTTAAATGTTTAGGAGCTACGAGATGGTTGTAAAACTTTAATCAGCGTTTCACTGTCTCCTATATTTATATACAACTATAATAGCTTTCGCGTGGAATAAACAAAAAAATAAGTAGCCTGTGTTCTTCGAGACTATCCTCTACATCTATACCAAATTTCATCGAGATATTTTCGACAGTTTAAGCTACAAAATCTTATAAACATTCATCCATCCATCCGTTCAAACTTTCGCAATTATAATGTTAGTAAGATTTAGCAACAAAGATAAAATACTGAATAAAATTTATGGCCATTTTTTTATCTATAGCTTTTAAAATAATGCTTCAATTGTTTCCCAGGTTTATAATCCTTCATTTACGAGGATAAAAATACAATGTGATGTAATACACAATGTATTCGTAGTAATTTGTAAATTACAATTTTCATATACCAGATAGCTTTTTCCGAAGCGGATGTAAAAATGTTTTACGGTCAAAACGGTAAACAAGGTAGATCGAAAATATATTACTGTCTTGTTTAACTTCAACAAATTCCCGGTAAAACATTCGCAAATATTATTTATATGTTTATTCCTTAAAATCATTCAATACTTTAAAATACTAAAAACATGCATCAGTTTTTCCTTACCAACAGTAACTACGT